TCATCCCCAGGCTGTGCGCTCACCCACTCACCCAGGGCCAGGCCGCGTCTGGTTTCTCTGGCTCCCAAGGTCCCTGTGTTACATGGGGGCAGGTGCCTGCTCATTTATGAGGGAAGGGAGGTGAGCTTGAGAGACATTAAATACCCAGTCACAGAGCCGACGACAGCAGTGAGCGGCTCTGGCCCGCTCCGGCTCCGCTCACTGGCTCCTACCCAGGCCCTGTTGAGGAGCCGGGGCTGCAGGGCCCAGGAGAGTCCTGGAGCAAGAGGTGAGATGCCACATGTGGCCCCTGACGCATCCCTGAGCCAACAGGAGCCAGGTGTCGCTGGGAGGGCAGGGGTCCCTGCAGGAGCAGCCCCAGCCTCTCGGCTTCTCTCCCGCCGAGGGAGCTGGGTGCTTGGTAATTAAGGAGGTGAGCGGCGGAGCGGGCGGCAGCTTAGCGAGCGCCTCATCAGAATCCTTTTATTAATTGAATTGAGGCATCTCTGGCTGCTTGAGTGTAATAGATTTGCCAATTAATTTTTCCAGTGGCTCCTTAAAGTTCAAGTCTCGGGCCAGCTCCCACCCCACAGCCCACCATGTCCCGAGCTCCACGGGGGACTTTGGAGCAGCCAGGTCAGGGCCGAGGTGAGGGAAGCAGCAGGAAATGATTCGCCATCCCCAGGCAGCCCCATCCCAGCGAGCAGGGGCCGTGCTCCGCATGCCAGGGGCTCCAGCGAGCACAGTGCTGAGGCTGAGCCCCAGCTGGGAGAGCTGAGAGGGGGAGGAGGAAGAGAGGGGCAGAGGCAGAGTCCCCCAGCACAGCCTGACCACAGCCCAGCGCCCCAAAAACAAACACAGAAGAGAAAGGCACCCTGAGAAGGCAGGGACTTCCTGAAACGGCCCCCGGCGGCCCTGGCTGGACCGCCTAGCGCACCTGCTGGCCCCTGGAGACTGAGTTTGGACCAGCACCGCCTGTGGGGCCAGCCAGCAGGGAGTCCCTGTTTCTTGTGTCAGGACCCAGGAGGCCATGCGGAGCCTGTGTGTGGGGGTCTCTGATTTCTGCAGCCCAGGCCTGGGGAGGGTGAGCTCAGCCGGCCCAGCCGAGGGGCCCGCTTCAGCTCTGGGTCCCGCAGGCTGGAAACCTCTGTTGCAGCCAGGGCCTTGTCCCCGCTGCTGTAACTGGCTCCCCTCTTTGGCGGCAGCACGCAGCCGCTGGCGCCAGTCCCGCCGGCCTTGGGAATAGACCTCTCCATCCCCAGGGGCAGATTCGAGTGCAGCCAAGCGGGCGAGTGTTTGTCATCATCGCGGAGACACGAACCGCACCCCTGACGCCTCTGCGGCTCCCCCTGGCTCCACTCACGTCATGGCGCAGCCCCTGCGCAGGCAGCAGCCTCACCTCTCTCTCCCTGGATCCCTGCTTGCTCCCTGTCCTTTTCCACAGACTGCCGAAATGGCTGTTTCTCCAGGAGATTAATAAGCATCATGTGAGGAATGAGCTAATGAAGACCGCACCGTGTGCCCGGGGCTCGGCTGCCAGTTAGCGAGCCGCTGTGAACCGGCGGGCCGCGAAGACGGCGAGCCAGCGCCACCTGCTGGGGGGGCCAGGGCTGTGCGGCTGAACCCCAAGCTCAGCACCACTTTAGGGACGCAGATTCCGCACGGGGCCCTGGGCCTTCCAGCTGCGACTCTGACACCCGAAACCGCATGTCACCGTGGTGCCAAGCCTCAGCTCTCCTCCGCAGAACACAGCACTTGGACCGCCCGGGGCCTGATACCACACAGGGTGGACACGGGAGGCGCAGCAGAGGCGTGGGCACTTGCTTAGGGAGAGTAAATTGTTCAAAACTTCAAGAAACCGACGAGAGCTTTACCCCCACCCTTTCCTGTGGAAGCAAGAAGAGAGGGGAGTAAGGGAGCGGCCTGCCTGGCCCGCGGCCCATAGCCTGCTGGTGTCGAGGCCACGGCCACCTGCAGACGCTCGGGCTGGGGCGTAGGCCCCTCAATCATCTCCGCCTGCTGCATCCAGCTTAGCAGCGGCAGTGGTCACTGGCAATGCTGTGATAACAACAGCACACGTGCCGGGAAGCAAGCCGGTGTGCACCAACCAGGCCGCCACGGCGCCAACCCTTGGATGGGAGAAGACCTCAGGCAGGGCCCAGCAAGGCGGCCAGGGAGGGGCCGTGTCCTGGCCACCTGGCCGCCTGAGACCTTCCCCATGGCTGCACCTCCCAGGGTCCAGGGACTGTCAGTCACTCACTCCCCTCCCTTCTGGGACAGCCCTGCGGGGAGACAGCCACATGCCACTGCTGTCCCTGCAGAGCGAGGCACAGGGGCCGCCAGTGGACGCAGTGAGAGGCGGTAGCTGCCCTAAGCCGCTGCCCCAGGGCTGGGTGACTGCTAACAGACGCCGCCTGCTCGCACAGAAGTCTTGGCTGGGTTTCCTCCGACCTCAACTATGGTTTTGCGTTGGTTGCTTTCGGTTTGCTGTGTTTTAACCCCCAGCTGACTGTGGGCCTTAGCTTTTCCTTCAAGAAGGCCGTCTCCAGGCCGGGCGCTCTCTACGTCATGGCAGCCAGATCACAGAGCGCTCTCCGCAGCAGCGGACGGGCTGTGGCCAGGTGCAGGTGCCCCCCTACACCTGCCCTGGCCGGGCCCAGGACCCATTGCGCCAGAGACGTGGGTCTGCGAGCTGTCAGCCAGTGCAAGGCCTGGCGCAGGAGGCTGGGAGCCTGCCCTGTGTGGAACACTAAGCTCAACAAGCAAGGAGCTGGGAGAGACGGGACAAGGACAGGGCCAGGAAGGTGGTGGCTCGGTGGTGGCTTCCACTGGCAGCACAGGCGCCCTGCCTGCCCCACCAGGCCCACACTGCACCTGCTCTGCCTGGAAACACAGCCAGGTCCCCAGGGAGGGCTTCCCAGGACACCTCCGTGGATCAGACAGGTGCCGCGAGCCGTGGCTTGTTTGCCAGTCCAGGGTGAGGGCGGCACATGGTCTGACCACGGCCCCAGGTGGAGGTTCCTGGGAGGCGTGGCGTAAAGAGGTAGGTGGCCTGCCTCCCCCGCAGGACAGCCCAGGGCCCCACCGAGGCCCCTCCTCCACCTGCCTTCCCTCCGCCTGCAGTGACCCCTGCCAGGCAGGCTGATGTGAAGCCGGCCCTTGGACCCCGATTCAACGGTGCTGGCCGTGGAATCCCTCCCTGGTGGGGACCCTGCCCCTCTCTCTCTGTGGGAACCATTCCCCGTTGGTGCCGCTGCGCCCCAAGAAGCCTCTGGTGCCTCCGTGTTCCATGAAAAGATGCCACTGGGTGGGCCAGCACTTATGCCTGGAACCCCTCGCCTGGGCTCCTGCTGCCCACCCCAGGCCTCTGTGTCATCAGCTAAGACCCCCAAGCCTCCCCTGGCGCTGCGGGCTTGCCTGAGGCTGGGGCTGGACTCAGCAGGTTCTTCTCCGTTCCCTGCGGTCGGTTCCTTCCCCGTGGAGCTGGCGGCAGCCCCAGCCTCCCAGGCACTGCTTCCGGCAGCGCAGTTGTCTCGAGGGTGCCCGCCCTGCCTGTGTCCTGTGGTCAGACGGGCTGAGGGCTTGGAGTAAGTAGCCGTGCCTGGGCCCGCGGGCAGAGACCTCGGTCCCCCTGGTGTGGCTGGGGCTGGCTCTTAGGCCCAAAGGGGAGCCTGAGCCGACACCCTAGAGCTGGGCGCTGGGGCTTGGGGACACGGCGGCTCCCTGGGTGCCCCTGGTGGGGTTGAGCCGGCTCTGGTACCTCGCTGCGGGCACGGAGCCGACAGTGCAGGTCACGCTGTCAGGGTGAGGAGAGGGAGAGGCGCGCGGGGACAGGCGGTTGCCGCCCTGGTGCCGTCTGCGTGGTGACAGACGCCGCGTGTCGCGCCCCAGCATCTCCTCTGGCGAGCAGTTCTGTGATCTCACCCTCGGGGGAGAGCTGCTGTTTGCGGTGTGTTCTGTGGAATGCAGTGAGCCCCTGCGTGTCACCCCGGGGTTACCCGTGCTTCGCGGGCTCGGCTGGCACAGTCACCTGCGATCACCCACGTCCCGAGTGAGTGGCTGTGGGCAGGCCCCAGCCTCCCAGCCCTGCCGCTGTGCGCTGGCTGGGAGCGTGCGTGCCCAGTTCTTGGCTTCCTGGGGCTTGGGCCAAGCAGGGCGCTGCCGAGGGCCCCGTGCGGGAAGGGCCAGGGCCGTGCCTGGAACATGCAACCAGGTCCTCCGCGTCGTTTCTTCAGATGCCACGGGTCGCGGCCTGGCCTGAGGCCGAGCAGCCTCCTGGCTTCTTGGGCAGCATCCAGGTTGCTGTCACTGTAGTCCAGCCGTGGACCTGGCGCAAGCCACGGCCCCCGCCCCCAAGAGCCGGCAACCTCTAGCAGGAGCTCAAACCCTGTGCACGGTGTCTACCCCAAGCAGGGACATCTGTGTGCTCGTCACGCAGGACTGCCACCAGGCCGAGGGGCGCGCTCTGACAGCTCGGTCACCAGCCCCACTTTGCCGGTGCTCAGAACCGTGTTCTCAATGAACGAGGCAGTGACTGCCCGGGGGAAACTTGGGGCCCACGGGGTTGAAAATACCTCCGTATTAAGAAAACTGTGCCTGGAAACAGAAACTAAACAGCCGAGTGAACCCCGCAGCCACACCTGGCTGGAAGCGTGGCAGGGCTCTGCCGGGGCTCCCGCAGGTGTCCCACCGGGGCGGGGCGGAGCCCCCAGCCGGGGCCGGTGCACTCTCTGTCCTGTCTGTGGCTCCCGTGTCATGAGCTGGCTGGCACCTGGCGCCGCCACTTGTCCCTGATGGTCCTCACGGTTGCCTGCACACGGCGGCTCCGCGCAGGCTGTAATGAAATCCCGTGAGCGCACTTCGGGACGCTGGGTTAGGTACAAAGACTCCGCAGAAATGTAAGCTGTCGTGTGCGGCTGCTTCGCCCCGCGGCTTCTGACAGCGCTGGCTGTCGTGTGGAAATGACCGAGGACAGGTGGGCAGCCCGCCGGGCGGGGGTGACCGTGGCCCTCTCTCCCCAGGAGCTGCCAGAGCGTCACCAGCCTGTTCAGCACGGCGTCGCCCGCCAAGGACGGGACCTCGTCTCTCCCCAGGAGGCAGAGCGCACTGGCCAAGCCCCCGCTCCGGGCCCTGTACGACCTGCTCATAGCACCCATGGAAGGGGTAAGTGCCGCCCAGGCGTCAGAACGCATCAGTTACCCGTCGGTGCCCGCGCAGATCCCCCAGGCTCCTGGCACGAGAGCGGAGCTCCTCCAGAATCCGAGTCCTCCGGTCAGCGTCTCGGGCAGCATTTGAAAGCGCACACAGACGTGAGCCCTGGCCGGCTTCCCCTTAACGGACGGGGCCCCGGGCCTCACCCTGGCAGACCTGGGCTCCGCTCCCAGCTCTGCCCCTACAAGCCGGGTAGATTTGGCCTCGGTGACCTCACGCCCGCAGTGAGGTGATGCTCCCTTCCCAGCCTGCCCGGCCACCTGCGGGGGGGCCCCAGGAGGGGCAGGGGCCCCGAGAGGCTTTGCACCTGCACCCCACTGCCCGCCCTCCCTGTGGAATCTTGCCTGAGCGAGTCGTCCAGGGCTGTGCTTTGGACAGGAATGTGCCTCTGAGCAGCCGGTCTGCCCTCCTCCTCAGTCAGCGTGGCTGCCTGCGGCGCCCCCGCATGAGCAGCCGCTGACGGGTGTCCTGAGGTGTGTCCCGTGGCCTGTGCGGCGGCACTGGGCAGCACACCCAGCTCTCTAACTGCATGGGCAGGGCCGGGGGCCTCCGTGCCCCTGTGGGTACATCGGGGAAGCCAGGTGCTGGCAGCAGGTGGGGCCGGCAGCCAGGGAGGAGATGCACCTCATGGGTGCTGGGGTGGCCCCCCGGGCATTCGCGTCTGCTCCAGCTGTCCTGTGGAGGCCACGGCTTGGCAGTGAGGCCCCGTGTCCAGAAGGTGCCTCCACCCACCCCTGCCCGGCTGTCCGCGCACACTGTCCCCGCACCTGGTGCTGGTCCACGGGGGAGCAGAGGGCCTTTGGGAATCTCTGGCCCCGCCTTCCCGCTCACCCTCCTTGCCGGTCAGTGAGGGTGCCAGCCCTGGGCACGTGGGCTGGGGTGGGACTGGGGTTGTGCAGAGGCGCAGGCAGCCGGGCCCTGCACCCCGCGGGCCCTGGGCCGTGGCCACTGCTGCGCCTGCCTCCCCGCACCCTGGGGCCTCCCGGCGTGGTCGCCCCCGTCCCAGACGCGCCTGGCTGTCCTCCCTTGTTGGGCACAGTCTGCTGACCACATCCTGACCACAAGGGGCCCGGTGACACCCGGCCAGCCGTGCGTGCCTACCGCGAGGGGAGAGTGCGGGCGTCCCTCGTTGTAGCTTCCCGGCTGCTCTCCCAGACACCTCTGCAGGTGGCTGGCCCCAGCCTCACCCACGGGGCCTCCAGAGTCCCGGGCCTGTCCCTGGTCGCATTCTTGCTCTGAGGTGGGAGGGGAGCCAAGGGCAGAGCCAGAGCCGGGCTGTGGCTGTCGCCTCTGCCCCCATGGGGAGCAGGGCTCATCTTTGGTCCAGCCCCAGCGTCACTTCCTCTTTGAAGCCTGCCCGGCTGCCCCCAGCCCCCGCCTTCCCTGAGCTCTTCATCCACCTGCCCACCAGGGGGCGCCCTGCATCCTTGGGTGTCTCTAGTGGCACTGACACTTGGCTAGGCTCAGACCCGGCTCATTCTCTCCTTGCTGCCCCCCTACACACACCGTGCTCCTCTCTGGGACAACAAAGACTGCTCCTCCTCTCCAATCCCCTGTCACTGGCACGGCACCTGGTGGCTGCCCGCACAAGGCCCACGGCTGCACTTGCAGCCCAGGTCTAGTTCTGCATGGAGACAGAAGACCCCAGGAAGAGAACAGCCAGCGGGCCGAGCCTGGAGCTTTCCACGACCACGAAGCAGAAGGCAGGGGACCCCGTCCGCTCGGCCCGTGTTTCCAGTGGACAAGCCTGCAGGGACCCACGCCTGAGCTGGGGGCCGTGGGCAGGAGAGCACCCCTCGTCCTGCACGGGGAGAAGCTGCTGACGCCACAGGGGTCCCGGAGGGGGGTTCTGGGCGCCTGTGCCGCTCTTCTCCCAGACGCACCCCTGGGGCTCCGAGAGTGAGGCTGCACTCCCAGGATCCTCGGGGTCTCGTGTCTGGACGCCCGGCGCGTCTCCAGGGGCTGGAGGACAGGGAAGATTTAGGGACTCGGGCCTTGACCAGGGGAGAGTGATGATCAGGCCGACGCCTTGACAAAGATGGCTGCCGCCAGGTTCCCCCCAACCCACAGCGCCCCGACAGCACCCCGAGCGTGTGGCCTTGGCTCAGGTCAGGGGACGGCCCGGGCCTGCCACGCAGACGCTCCATCTGGTGGCCAGTGCTGGCTGCAGCGACGGAGCCCACGTGCTGAGCCCCCTTGAAGCCTTTGGAGCCCGTGGTCAGCGTGAGAGCTGTGGCCGGGCTGACAGGAGCCATCGTGTGTCAGTGACAACACCTTGCTGCAAAGCTGCGCCTGCCCCGTTTCATTCATTCATTCAACAGATACTGGAGTGGGGGCCGGCGTTGTGGCATAGCTGGTTAGGCACAGCTTGTTCTGCCTTTCAAATCAATCAATCAAGCTTTAAAAACGATACTGACATGTGCCAGGCACACGCTGCCCTGACCCCGGAGGAAAGCTGAGAGGCTGGGCAAGGACTGTGCCCCAGCGCTGGCCGCTCACCAGCTGGGCCGCCCCAGCGCCCGGCCTCCCGGCCGGCTTCACCCCTAAAACAGCCCACCCCTCCTCGCCCCTTCCCCGGGGAACGGGAGGGCGGAATGCAGTCTCGCTTCTCACCGCTAGAGGGCGACAGGACACCGTCCGCAGCTCCCCACGCCCCGCGGCCGGCTCCAGGGAGACCACAAATCAACACGGCAGGTCCAGGATTCTGATTCACGGACACCGCGGGGCTACAGCGGTCGGCCTCTTCACGTGGGGCACGTAATTATCCCAACAACCGCCTTTGTTTGGCCCCAGTCGTGTTGCTCCGGGCCGGGAAGGGAAGAGCACGGGTCTTCCCGGAGGTGCGCGCCGGCATCTGATTTAATTTGGCTTCAGGGAAGCCGTGCCGTCCGAGGCTCTCTCCCGGAGCCGCGCTGTCCTCTGCTGTCAGCACGGGGCGAGCGTGTCCACTTCTCCGGGAGGCGGGCCGGCTCCCCCTGCATGGGAGCCATCATCACACATTAAGTCAAGTCCTGCCCGATAGCCCAAGGAGGAAATGTCACCGGAGAAAAGCCGCGAGGGTCAGCGTGAAGGGCACTGGGCGCACGTGGGTCCACGCGCTGGCCCTCCATCGCATCGACGTGAAGAGGGGTGGCTGGGCCCCGCCAGACCCCCTGCTCCCTGGGCGAGGGCGGCCCCGGGCCGGTCCCAGCCACGCAGAACCACACGCGAGCTCCGCCCCTCCCAGCACCCACGGCCGCGGCTCAGGGCTTCCTCCGGGGCCGGCGCTGCCCCGTCAAGGAACCAGGCCCGGTAGCACAGCGATCGGGAAAGGCCCGATGGGGACGCCCGTCAGGCCTCTGGGGGCGCCGACTCCGGCCACGTCCTCGTCCCGAGCCACTGGGCCCGCTCTGTTTCCCTTCGAGTCCTCTGAGAGCCCAGGCGCTGGGACGAGCAGCGAGGCACGACGATCCGAAAGCCGCGCTCGCTCGCTTCTGCTGTGGTTCCTGGAGCTGCGGAGTCACCTGCGACCTGGTGCGCGGCAGGCCAGGGGTGGGGGCGCCTCCCTGAACACGGGAGCAGTGGGAACTCGCCGGGAGCGCGAGCAGGGGTCTGGCCCTGCCAGTGAGGACTCTAACTGCTGCTGGGGGGTGGGGGGAGACCCCCGTGGTGCCTCGCAAAATGCGCCTTGGAAAATCGGGCAGCACCACGCGGAAAGAGCGCTGGGTGCCGGCGCCCGCTGTGCCTGCGTGGACCACAGCTCTGCCGCAGAAACCCTCAGACGCCGGTGTGGAGGGCAGGGTGAGGCTGTGAGGCCAGCAGCCAGGCCGTCTGACTGATTTGGGACGGAGACAGCTGTAGTAATATTCAAATGAGGACAGGTGTCACCCAAAGACGGCAAGCAATGCACACTGATTAGGGGGAGGATGCATGTAGGCGCTTGCTGGCCAGCTGGCTGTGTGATGGAGACACGGGCGAGGGCGCAGGCCCATCAGGGAGCTCCCACAGGTAGGGGGCTCTCACCTGTGCCGCCACGGCAGGTGGGAGTGGGGGCGCCGGCTCTGTTCTGGCTCCCGCGGGGCCCTCGGAGCTGCTGCGGCTGAGGTGGCCTGCGGGAGCCAGTCTGCCCCTTGAGCTCCTGCTGGCCGTTGGTCACGTTTCTCAGACCCCCAGCCCAGCTTGCCTTGTCTGTCCCAGGTCATCCGGGCAGACTCCCAGGTTTGGTAAGGGCACGGGGTCAGCCGGCCTGGAGGTCATTGCCGATAACCTGTGTGACACACACCCGTCCACAATAAGCCTTCCCAGGGAGAGGTGGCTCTGCCTTATCAGCGCTGTCTGATCAACCCCCTCCGTCAGAAACCCCGGGCCCGGCTCGGGGTCCAGCTCCCCCGGGGTCCTGTGCCTCTGGGATCCTTCTCCACAGCATTGATCGCTTCATCCTCAGTCTCGCCGCGCGCTCCCAGGCCCCAGTGTTGTCTGCCCTCCCCGTGGCGGCTGGTGATGCCACGAAACCCCGGTAAAGAGGGGACCCCCGGAGCCCTCCCGTGCTGCGTGGTGCACACAGCACGCAGTTCTCGGGCCGGAGAGCAGCGCCCGTGCAGCCTACTAGCTGGTGCAGCGCGTCCTGGGCAGCTGAGGGCGGTGGTGCCCGGGCGTGTGAACGGGGGGCCCCCGACCCACGCGGGAATCGGATCAGATCGCCCGCACACACCTTTGGGATCTGTGGAGTTGCCAGGGAGAACCGCAGGCTGGTGGTCCGGTGGTGGGGTAACCGCTCGGTCAGCAGCTGTGGACGGCGGTGCAGGAGGGCTGGTGACGTCCGGCGTCCCTGGGTTGGAGCTGGGGGTTGGGGGCTTCAGAGGGGCTGCGTGGGAGGGGAGCAGGCTGCACCCCAAGGATGACGGTGCAGGACTGGCGCTCGGGCAGTGTCCTCCCCGCACCTGGAAGGTCCCACTTGGCCCCTGTGTGCCGAGTGCCAGGCACAGTCCAGACACTGCACGCGCTACTCCCCATCCCCCGCTCCTCTGTCTCAGCCATCGAGGAATGCACACTGGTGCTGTCCTGAGGGTCTGGACACGGAGGGGCGGGGGCTAAGGAGCTGCAGCAGTGCCTGGAGCCATCGCCCCCGACACGCCCGCAAGCACCCAGGTCCCTCGGGCGCCCACACCCTCCACAGCAGAGGCCTCTTCCAGACCCTGCTGCCCTCTCCCTGGGCTAACCAGGGCACAGTGCACACAGCAGCATCACCAGGACGCTGTGACCACAGGGAGACCGCGTGGCTCTCCAGGCTTAGGGGTGCACCCTGGGAAGAAGAGGCGCTGGAGGAGGGGTGCCTCAGCCCCCAGGCCACGGTGGGTGGGGCTGCAGTTGCTGGGAGAGCCACAGGCTGCCCCCTGGGTGCGGGTGTGGGCCCTTGGGCAGGAGTGCTCTGTGTGCAGGGCCCCTGGGGCTGTGGGGAGGGGGTCGCCAGGTCCAGACCATGAGGAGGCAGGCAGGGGTGCTGGGCCACTACCCAGGCAGGAAAGCCCCTTCCGCAGCGCCCCCTAGTGACAAGGTCAGCACTGGGTGCACTTGACCCCAGCAATGGCGGGAGGAGTGGAGCCTCTCCTGACCCAGCCTGGGCACACACCCACCAGAAGGGGCGGCCCTCTCCAGTCTGCCCCTCGGTGGCGCCCGTCATGCCTCCCCCTGTCACGGGGCCTGCGCGCTCAGGGACAGACAGATCCTGTGTCCTGGCCTCTGGTCTTGTTCTCCTTCAAAAGATCCCACTTCGGGACACCTCAGGGGTAGGAGAGCTGAGCCTTTGACGGGGTTTGCTGGGTGGAGGCTGATGGCGGAGCTGTGTTCTCTTCCGAGCCCAGGCCCCGCGAGAAGGCGTCACGTGCTCTCTTCTAGGCCAGCAGGCGGGGTGCGAGCCGCATCTCCCCTTGGTGATCTAAGCGGCGATGTGTGCAGAGACCCCCTTCTTCTCCCTCTTTAAGAGACTGATCTATTTGAAAGGCAGAGTTACAGAGAGCGCTTCTGGGACTAGGCCAGGCTGAAGCCAGGCCCAACCTGGAGCTTCATCTGGGACTCCCACTTGGGTGCAGGGGCCCAAGCACTTGGGCCATCCTCTACCGCTTTCCCGCGTGTCTCAGCAGGGAGCCGGTTCGAAAGTGGGGCAGCCAGGACTCAAACCAGCACCCACATGGGATGCCAGCTGTAGCTTAACCCACTGTACCACAATGCCGACCCCCTTTGTCCCTTTTAAAGTCCATGTGTGGTCACCGTGAGTCTTTGGACGCCAGGCAGTGCTCACCAGAACGAGGGCATTGTCCTCGAAGGACCTAGAACTGGCAGTGGGGCTGGAGGTCCAGAAAGCAGTCTCCCCTCGGCCAGGTCCTCCCTTCCTGCCCCCGCCCTCAAGGCTCACTCTCGCCCCCTCCTGCGAGTCTCCTTGTCCCTTCCTGGGGGGGGGGGGCTGTGCTCTCTCTCCTGCAGCATGGCCACCGCCCCCACCATGGCCGCTCCTGCTTGGGCCACAGCCTCTCCCTTGCCAGACCTGCCCAGGGGCCTCGTCCGCTCAGCCCTCACACAGCTCCTGGCTGCGCGGCTGGCTGGGCGCCTCCGCCTGCGGGGGCTGGCGCGTTAGTTCCCGTGCACCACGGTGCTTGTACCAGGGTCCTTCAAAATGGAGTAGAAGGAGTTTATTTGACACATAAGTTAAATCTGTGCACAGCTTGCTCACTCGCTGTTCGTGGCCTTTTGGAGAGTCCTTGAGTTGGGGGTCACTCGGTGACCGCCTCTCTCAGCACATCCCTGGTGAGCTTACAGCAGGGACGGCGCCCAGCCCGGCCCGACTTCCCGGAGGAGCACAGCAGCCCAGGGTGGGCGCTGCTCGGGGGCTGGGCTTGGGAGAGGGGCCCTGCAGGGCGTCACGGAGGACACGGCCCGCTGCCAGGCACGCGCCTCCGAGAAGCAGGTTTTGCAGGGCCCACGTCAGCTGCCTCACCTCGCCCCCCACTCTGACCAGGCACGTGTCCGTGCAGGTGCAGTCAGCGCTGAGCCTGGAGTGGTGTCGCCGTCACCACTGCTGGCCCCATCGCTGAGCTCGGGGTGCCACTGAGTGTGGTGGCGCTGCTCTCCAGAGGGGTCCCCCAGAGCCACCCCAATCTGCACGGTTCAGGAATGGCGCAGGGAGGAAGCCCAGCCCAGGTGCGTGCCTGCGTGGACCCAGAGCTCACCCACAAGGCCACTGTGACAAAGCCCTTCCCTCCCGGGTCACAGGGGAAAGGGCTCGGAAAGCAAACAAGCGGTGTGCTGGCCGCCTGCTTCTGTTTCTCTGCTTCACGTGCAGCTAGAATTAAAAAAAAAAAAAAAAAAAAAAAAAATGGAGGTCGTGGGGCTTTGTGGAGCTGAATCCCGCCAGCCGCCAGGCACGTGTCACTTTGGGTTAGCCGAGTGCTTCTGCCACTCTCAGCCAAGCGCCCAGGGCAGCGCAGCAGACGGGGCCCTGGGGAAGCTGGGGAGGAGGGGGGGGCCTGGCGGACTCCCGCGGAGCCAGCCCCGCCCCAGGCGCCTGGTGCGTGGAGGGGCTGTCTGTCTGTGCCGAGCCCGACCTCCCCCCCGCAGGCTCAGGGCAGCACGGGCAGCGGCAGCTTCTGCCCTGTCTGTCCCGCTCAGCCTACATTTCACTGGTGTCCAGCCGCCGCCTGCCTGGGCAGTGCCCTTGGAAAGACAGCCATGGTGGAGCGCGGGGATGAGCGGGTGTCTGTGCATCTGTGGCTCCGTGTGCACCCTCCTTCATGCCACCCCTTCCTGGAGGGGTGGTGTCAGTGCTTTGGCGCAACTGAGCTCCCCAGAGCCTGGGCCCCGGGGGTAACTGCTTAGGGGAGGAGCCAGGGACCCGGCCCGCACCTGCTGCCCCTTGAATTTCCAGCCTCTTGGAAAATGCACCTTGCTCCCGCGGAGCTGTTGGCCCGTTTTGAGACTGGGCACCCCCAGAACGCTCTCGGGTCCCTGTGCTGAGGCCCCGTGTCCTGGTCCTGGGGGACACCGGGTCAGCATTCCTCGTGGGGCAACGCCCTGGGGTGGGCTGGCGCCTGGCGCCCCAGTCAGCCTCTTGCGCTCGCTCCGCAGGGCCTGATGCACTCCAGCGGCCCGGTGGGCCGGCACCGGCAGCTGGTCCTGGTCCTGGAGGGGGAGCTCTACCTCATCCCCTTCGCCCTGCTGAAGGGAAGCTCCTCCAACGAGTACCTGTACGAGCGCTTCGCCCTCATCGCCGTGCCCGCCATCCGCTCGCTCAGCCCGCACTCCAAGGTAGGGCTCCGGGCCATGGCCTCCCCCTGGTGGGGGGGCCCTCAGAGAGGAAGTGTCTCCAGGTGGAGGGCCCCCTGCTCTCCACCGGGCTGGGCATCACATGCTGTCCTGCAGAGGGGCCGGGCAGGTTCACGTCTCACTCAGCAAGGCCAGTCGGGGTGGGGAGTCCACGAGGAGCCCGCGGTCTGGGGAAGCCAGGCCCCGCCCCAGGCGCACTGCTGCTCCAACCCCAAAGCCTGGGAGACCTGGGAACCCTGGCTTCCTCTGCCCCCAGGGCTGCAGGGCTGCCTACTGCGGGCGTCTGACTCACTGTGTGGTCACTGCCCGCCCGTGGCTGGGCGCCCTCCGGGCCCAGGTGCTGGCCCTGCGTGCTCCCGGGCTGAGCCCATGGCCTGGTTCATCTGGGGTCGGGCTGGGTCTCACTGGTTGTGCAGATGTTAATTTGAGCAGAGCAGTGGGCTGACAGGCACCTAGCCTTGCTGTGACGTCATTTTGCAACCTTTGGGTCCTTGATGTTTCCCCAGAAGTCATCACGGGGAAAACTCAGCCCTCCGCTGGGCTTCTGTCTGCGGAGTGTGTGTGCACTGCTCCTCACGCAGCTCCCGGGAGACAGGGTGGCCTGCTCCTGAGGCTGATGCACACGGGAATGGAGCCACTCCCACGCCCCGTGCGCATTCTGTCCCCGCAGGGCCGCGGCTTCCCCCTGCCCACGCCCGATCTGTGTTGAGAACGCGGCAGGGCAGACCCCAGTCTCAGGAAGTCGGAGGCGTGTGGCGAGGACACGTGGCGACATCAGAGTGAAGGGGGTTGAAGGGGTCCAGGGGGCCCCCCTGACCGTGACCTGCTTGTGTCCCCTCCCCCAGACTCAGCTGAGGAAGAGCCCGCCCACCTACTCCAGTTCCACGTCCATGGCGGCTGTCATCGGCAACCCCAAGCTGCCGTCGGCCGTGATGGACAGGTGGCTGTGGGGGCCCATGCCGGCGGCCGAGGAGGAAGCCTACATGGTGTCGGAGCTGCTGGGCTGCCAGCCCCTGGTGGGCAGCGTGGCCACCAAGGAGAGGGTCATGAGCGCCCTGACCCAGGCCGAGTGCGTGCACTTCGCCACCCACATCTCCTGGAAGCTGTCGGCCTTGGTCCTCACGCCCAGCGCGGACGGCAACCCGGGCAGCAGCAAGAGCTCCTTCGGCCACCCCTACACCATCCCCGAGTCCCTGCGGGTGCAGGACGACGCCAGCGACGCCGAGAGCATCTCGGACTGCCCGCCCCTGCAGGAGCTGCTGCTCACGGCCGCCGACGTCCTGGACCTGCGGCTGCCCGTGAAGCTGGTGGTGCTCGGCTCCTCCCAGGAGTCCAACGGCAGGGTCACGGCCGACGGGGTCATCGCGCTCACGCGCGCCTTCCTGGCCGCCGGCGCGCAGTGTGTGCTCGTGTCCCTGTGGCCGGTGCCCGTGGCCGCTTCCAAGATGTTCATCCACGCCTTCTACTCGTCGCTGCTGAATGGCCTCAAGGCCAGCGCGGCGCTGGGGGAGGCCATGAAGGCGGTGCAGAGCAGCAAGGCCTTCGCGCACCCGTCCCACTGGGCAGGTAGGCGCCTCCACGGGGATCCCCGGGCTCGAGGCGCAGCCGGCCCCTGGCGGGGCGGCAGGGCAGCCGTGGCAGAGGGCGCCGGGGCCGGGTGTGCGGAGCCCCACCCTCTGCCCGAGCTGCCTCTCCTCCTGGGACTCCCGGTGGGGTGTGCGGGCCACCCCACCTCCTGGCCCCTCAGTGACCACCCCTGACTATAGGCAGGTGGGAGAAAGACCCTGGATCTGGTGGGTGGAGGACCACAGCAGAGCTTGTTCCCGTCTTGCGTGTGACTCGAGACAGCTGCGCAGGCTCCCCCGAGCTCCCCGTCGGCATCTGAGGGACCCATAAGGGGGACAGACGTCGGGGAGGCCTGCTGCAGGGGCTGGGGCCGGGGCGGCGACATCTGGTCCCCAGGGGCGGGAAGGGAGCAGGACGCAGCAGCAGCAGCCGTGCCGGGACCCTCCCTGGCAGGCCGGGACCCACAGAGGGCAAGGCCGGGCCTGCCGTGCTCCCCGGGGGCCCTGGAGCTTAGCAGAAGCTCCCACCTGTGCGTCACCACGGTCCTGACCGTAGGGCAGATGGGGGCCACCCTAAACCACCTTCCCAGACTCTTGCATCTTTCTGTTTTAATGGCAAAAGCCTTCCCCACGGTGCACCATTAGACTGCAACCAGCTCGGGCAAGCGCCCCAGCCCTGTCCCTGGATGGGAGCGAGGGGAAGGAGTAGTGAGGCTGGGCGGCAGCCGGGCCTGAGGGGCTCCTTTGCTGGGTGTCAGCTCACCCTGGGACCCCCGAGACCCTGAGGACCGCCCCCTCCCCACGGCCTGGGACACAGGGAGGGAGAGCCCAGCACGCCCGCAGCCGCCCACTGCAGTGCTGCTCCTGCGCTGCCCGGAAGGTGCACCATCTCCGCAGGGCGCTGCGGGCTAACCCCGGGGTGGGGGAGGCTGGGGTGTCAGCTGCCCGCTGAGGCCTCCTCCCCCCCCCCCCCCCAGGCTTTCTGCTCATCGGGAGCGATGTCAAGCTTAACAGTCCCTCGTCCATCATCGGCCAGGCCCTCACGGAGATCCTGCAGCACCCGGAGCGCGCCCGCGACGCCCTGCGCGTGCTGCTGCACCTGGTGAGCACTGGCGACGCCCTCCCCTGGGGCTGCGTGGGTGTGTGTGTGGGGGGCACTGCACTGCGGAGGGCTCCAGCCGGGCCTTCGTGGCCGCTGCGTAGTGTGTGCGGATGGCACACCCCCTGTCCCAGCCCAGTCCCAGCCTGGGGGCCCTGGTGCTGGGGCGGGCGGTGCGTCACAAGCACGCTGTTTCCAGACCTGACGCGAGGCCCAGCTCCCCGGCTGCCTCCCAGGCTGGGGCTGCCCCTGCCACGGCTGGGCGCCTGCTCGGGGCTCCCGGTGGGCGTGTCCCCTGGGCTGTGCAAACGTCCAGGCAGGCACTTGGTAGCAGACGGATGAGCCAAGCTGTTTCCTCAGCCTGGGGTGCGCCGGAGGCTTGCTCAGGCCTCGGAGTCGTCAGCGTGCACGGGGGAGGGCGGTGCCTGCAGCCTCCGACAGCGCTCGGGCCGGGCTCGGTGTCGCCTGCGCCGCCTGCAGCAGACTGGCTCCTGGGCCCGGCCTGGGTCGGACACGGCTTCCTGGTGCCAGCCTGCGTCTGGGAACTGCACAGGCCTCTGGGTTATACGGCACTGGGGCCGTCCTCGGGCCCTGTTAGCCCACAGCCCCTCTCCCCTGCTGCAGCCGGGGGCTGTCCTCTGAGGTCACAGAACACCCGCTTTCTGCTCGAGGGCCCCTGGAGTACATGTGGGGGCCTTGGGGGCCAGAAGTCAAGGGCACGGGACCCCACCTCCTCCTAGCTCGCCCTGGGTGCTCTGGCCCCAGTGAGCAGTGGCCCAGGGGGCAGCAGAGACCAGCGTCCGTGACCCCTAGTACTTCTGTGCCCCAGGAGCAGCACCGGCGCCTCGGGGCACGCGGTATCGGGGTGGACAGGGAAGGCTCTGGGCTCAGCCCATGGGGCCAGGCACCCGGTAGACCTTGGAGGACAGCGGCGCTTCCTGGTGGAGGGGCAGTGATGGGGGTGGCCTGAGGGTCCCAGGGTGTGGGGCCCCTGGCCTCCACGCAGGGAGCTGGGCCAGGAGGGCAGAGCCCTCAGCACGGCGCGTCTGGCTGCAAAGATGCCGACCTTGTCGCCGCTACCCACCTTGCATGGCGGCTGGCCACGGCCCAGCATCACAGCCTTGGCTCCTGGCCATGCGGGCAGCAGCGTCCCCCGGAGCACGCAGAGGGCGGGCGGGGCTGCCAGGCCTGATGGAGCCCCGACCCCTCCAGGTGGAGAAGTCCCTGCAGCGCATCCAGAACGGGCAGCGCAACGCCATGTACACGTCCCAGCAGAGCGTGGAGAACAAAGTGGGCGGCATCCCCGGCTGGCAGGCGCTCCTCACCGCCGTGGGCTTCCGGCTGGACCCCCCGGCCAGCGGGCTGCCGGCCGCCGTCTTCTTCCCCACCTCCGACCCGGGCGACCGGCTCCAGCAGTGCAGCAGCACCCTCCAGTCCCTGCTGGGTGAGCCGGGCCCGGGCAGAGCCGCTGGCGGACACGCACGGCGCTCACGTTGAGGTCTCCGGGCTGGGGAGAGAGGGAGGGGAGGATCCTGAGAAATGGCTCCGTGTCCCAGAGCCCCCGCCCCTGCTGTGGAGGGGGCACGGCCTTTCCTCTGTCCTGGGGCGACAGGCACACCAGTGCTGTCACTGTCACTGTCACTGGGGGTGGAGCCAAGCGCTGGCCCCAGGGAGGAGCCGCCCCTCGTGCTGGGGGCTGACCCGGCCACCCTCAGGGGCTGGGCAGGCTCTGGACGCCCCCTGCCCCACTTGCCTGCGTCGGGGACCGCACTCTCCTTTTCTGAGTCGCGTGTGATACACACCTGGCTCGGCCAAGTTCCTGAAAAACAGCACCAACGCTGAGGGTTTCAGGTCCTTTCGTCCGGGCAGGGGCTGGACTGTGGGTGCAGAAGCCACAGTCGGAGTGACAGCCGCCCCCTTCCTCTTGGTCTAGGTCTGCCCAACCCCGCCCTCCAAGCCCTCTGCAAACTCATCACGGCCTCGGAGACAGGGGAGCAGCTCATCAGCCGGGTAAGTGCAGCCCCACAGCCCGGCCCAGGCCTGGGCCCTGCACAGACCGTGGGCTCCGGCCCGCACAGGAAGCGGCAGTTCGGCAGTTCTGGGGTGCGCCCTGGTGCTGCCTGTCTCGGGTCATCCCACCCCTCTCTCATGCACTGACAGGTGTTAGAGCCCCTCCTCTGGGTCCAGGGGGGCTGCCGGCGTCCTGTCTTTCCCTGACCCCAGCACGCCCCACTCCCACAGCAGAAGAGCACTGAGTGCAGCAGGCGTGGCCACTGCAGGGCTGTGGGAGGGTAAGCCGTGCCTGCTCCGAGGAGTACAGAGCTGAGCTGGGGGTTTGAGGCTCTTCCCCCTTAGCGTGGAGCAGGCCCTTCCCAAGCCGGCCTCGGAGCTGCTCTGCACCCACTGATCATCCTGGCGGCCCCGGGGTCTGGCAGAAGCCCCAGGTGTCAGCCACGTGTGGGAGAAGGCTTGTGGATGCTCTCACAGCCCCTGAAGAGCAACGGGTTCTTTTGGATTTTTAAAAGATGTGAAGGGGCTGGCGCTATGGCATAGTGGGCTAAGCATCTGCCTGTGGCACCGGCATCCCACATGAGTGCCAGTTCGTGTCCCAGTTGCTCCTCTTCCGATCCAGCTCTCTGCCATGCCTGGGAAAGCAGTGGAAGATGGCCCAAGTCCATGGGCCCCTTCACCTGCGTGGGAGACCCAGAAGAAGCTCCTGGCTTCAGAATGGCCCAACTTTGGCCATTGCAGCCATTTGGGGAGTGAACCACTGATGGAAGACCTTTCTCTCTGTCTCTCCCTCTCTCTAACTCTATCTCTCAAATAAACCTTAAAAACAAAAAAGTTTATTTGAAAGGTAAGGCTATAGAGAGTGGGGAACGTTCCTTCCACTGGTTCACTCCCCGAATGGCCGCAGCTGGGCCAGACTGAGTCCTGAAACTCCACCCAGCTCTCCCACATGGGTGCAGGGGCCCAAGGACTTGGGCCATCTTCCGCTGAGTTCCCAGGCCATAGTAGAGAGCTGGATGGGAAGTGGAGCAGCCGGGACTTGAACCAGCGCTCATCTGGGATGCCAGCTTCGCGGGTGGTGGTTTAGTCCGCAAGTCCACAGTGCCGGCCCCTACAGAGCAGTGTTTTTCTGGTCATTTTGGAATGCAGTGGTCTGCGAGCACTGTTGGCTCACAGAGGTAAAGCCAGCCCGTGCAGGACTGAGCTGTGGTCTGGAACGGCGGCCGCCCCAGGTCTGTGCCTCCCCGGGCTCCCGGGCCGTGCAGGGACCGTGCTGCGCCTGCGTGCGCAACAGCATCAGGAGAGCCTTCCACAGCCTGGACCTTAAACCCCGGAGCCCGGAGGGTCGAGAATCTGTGTTCTACAAAAACGAAGGAGCTAGAGTCATGTCAGGATACTGGCAGGGTAGGGCTGAGTGTCCCAGAGAGCCGAGCGCGAGGGTTCTGGCTTTCGGGGGGAGCCCGAGGCGGCTGCGCCTGCTACAGCATTGGGCCCCTGCTCCGGCGCTGTCCCAGCTGCGCCCCCGGGGCGGTGGCCTCTCTGGGGGCTTCCCCCGTGTTACTCTGGAATTCCTCACACCCCCGCTGACCCCCGCTGTGCCCCTTGGCCCCGCACGTCCGGCCTGGGTGTGGCTGTTCCTCCTCCTGTGTGTCCCCTGCTGACTCTCGCTCCTGTCCCCACGTGCGGCGGTCAGAGCCGCGGCCTGCGTGGCGCTTCCTAAAGCAGCGATCAGCTCGTGTTGCGTAACAGCCTGTGCTTGAGTCTAAACTCTTCTCTCTCTCTCTCTTTCTTTCTTTTCCTTATAATCTGCTGGCCGAAGGCTGTTAAAAATATGGTGGGAATGGTGAGTACTCTTTAAGTGACTGTGGTAAGGTGAGCCCCTGCACCCGCCCACCCCCGCGTTCCCCTGGCGCTCTGAGCTTGGCGTGCACGCGCTGTCCAGTGGAGCCTCCCGTGCTGTGGCCTAGGTGACCTGTGCCCTCCCCTTCCTCTGCTCTGGCTCCCTTTGCTGCTCCGCCCATCTGTGTCCTCCACGTGACATTGTCAAGTTCACCCTAAAGCAGGGGCAGGTCCAGTTTGATGTAAGTGATGCTGCACCCCAAAGACCCCTGAGTAGGGCACTCCGGCCCCGTGGTGCAGGGGGCGCAGGCACCCTGGAGGGCACGTGGGTTCTTCCGTGACCACCTCTGACCCCAGACCCAAAAACTGACTGGAATTCCACAGGTACGGCTGGGATGGCCCCCGCCCGGTGAGGCCGCCTGGCCCCTGCTGCCCCCCGCCCTGCGGGTTCCCCCAGACAGGCGGCAGGACAGCAGGCAGGGAGGCCTTGGTAGAGCTGTCAGCGTGCCGCACGTGGGCCGCGAAGGTCGCTCGCGCTGCAGACGGCAGGGACGAGAGCACGGGGCCGGGCGGCCGCTCACGCCCGTGCCTCTCTCAGCTCCACCAGGTGCTCGTGCAGCTCCAGGCCGGCGAGAAGGAGCAGGACTTCGCCTCGGCCCCCATCCAGGTCTCCATCAGCGTGCAGCTGTGGCGGCTCCCGGGCTGTCACGAGTTCCTGGCAGCTCTAGGTAGGCCAAACGCGCCCTGACCCCCAGGCCACGCCATTCCATCTTTCAGAAAACGATTTTCCTCCTGGCGCTTGCCGGGCACGGCTGAGGGAACAGAGGTGTTGCCTCGGCGGCATCTCGGCTTCCTAACTGGAAACAGTCAAGGCCGAGACCGCAGTGTTGCCCGGGTCGGCCGCCCCGTCCTCGTGGGAATCCGCCGGATCCCAGCGGGGTTAGAGGTTAGGCTGCGATTACGGGCTACGGGAAAGGCAAACTTACAGCCCTAAGAAACAACGGTTTCTGTCATTTGCTCCTGAAACCGATGGAACAGCAGGGTTGCTGAGTGCTGTGAGGGACCCTGAGCCGTAGTGCCCGGCCAGGATACCCGCTCTCCCTCCTGCCATGGGCACGTGGCTGCCCAGCAGCCTCCGAGAGGCCGTGTGTCTCCTCCCGCCCTGAGAGCCTGGTGACGGGCCCGCCAAGAGCCATTCACCCCACAGCTTGCTTCTGCCCGGGGACAGCACAGCACCTCGCGGGAGCGGCTCGGGGCAGGGAGCCGGGCCTCAGCGCCACGGGGACGCTGCTGGGGAAGGCCCAGGGAAAGAAGAGGTGTGGGGGTGCAGTCCAGCCGCGGACGGGCCGACCTCACGGTCCCGGGGAGCAGCCGTCAGCTCCGCAGGTTGGCCAACGGGAGAAAGGCGCGTCCTCCACTTGAGAACCCGAGGGCCCGCGCTGGGCCACCTTTCCCAGCCCGCCCGGCTGGCAGCTGGCTGCACTGGGCCCCCACGAAGCCCCGCCCAGCCGCAGCACTTGCCTCCCGTCTGTGGACGGAAAGCAGCGTCTGCCGGAGTCAGGGCCAGGACCGCACTCGGGACGTTGTCTTCACTTCTGTGACAGGACACGAGGCCCTGGGGCAACTGCGCCAGCCAAAAAAACAAAACGGCCAAAACCCAGCAGGCCGAGACCTGCCCCTGCCAAGGACGCAGCCCCAGGCGGGACTGCCAGTGTGCCGGGAGGGGTGGAGGAGCGGGCGCCGGCTCGCTCTGGGGCTGGGATCCCATCAGTGTCACGGCCTGCCCTAGGAGCAGGGTTGGGAGAGAAGCGGCCTGGGCTGGGCCCCCGCAAGGCCCCTCCAGGTCCTCAGATGCAGCCGATGACGTCATAGAGGAGGCGACAGGACACCACTTTTTGAAGACTGATTTATTTCAAAGGCAAAGTGACAGAAGGGGAGAGAGCGCTTCCATCTGCTGGGTTACTCCCCGGATGTGCCCAATACCCAGGGCTGGGCCAGGCTAAAGTCAGGAGCCAGAACTCCATCCGGGTCTCCCACATGGGCGGCAGGGCCCAGGCACTTGAGCCGCCCTCGGCTGCCTTCCCGGGCGCGTGAGCAGGGAGCTGTGGGAACCGCGCTCTGATGTGGGTGCAGTGTCCCCACTGCCGCGTGCCGTGCTGCGCCACCACGCCACCCCGGCGTGAGTATTCTGAGGCCTACCTGTTGCTTCCGGGACTGTTGATTGTTGAGTCCCGAGAGGAAAATGTCCCGTGGAGACCCGGATGCTGGGTGGCTCCCCCACGGAACCCGAGTCCACAGGGGACGACAGTGTCAGAGTTCCGCAGAGTAAAGGGGCCAGCTGCTTCTCCCCGATGAACGGTGCAGCGCACGGACAGCAGCACTGGGCGGACGGAGGCTCCTGGGTGCCCGGCCCCCCGGGGGCTCGCTCAGCACCGTGTCCTCTGCAGTGTCTCAGGCGGGGCTCCGTGATCCCCGGAAGGCAGCTGCGGGAAGACTTCGCAAGCCCTCAGTCTGGCCTGGCGCCCGCGAGGCCTTGTCTCAGGAAGGCACGTTTGCTGGATGCCGCTGCCCCGTCCCAGTGCGGCCGCTGAGCCTCATTAGAATCCCTGCAGGCGGGAGGCAGCGCAGGGCTTAGGCGGAGTGAGGTTCCTGCAGGGGCTCAGCCTGCAGACACACAGGACGACCCATCTCTGTCCTGAACGGTCCTTCAAGTTCAGAGAGAAAACCACAGGTGTTGGCGATCCTTACCGATTCCGGCCCTGAGCACTTAAGAACGCAGTTGAGGACCAGGAGGACGGGGAAGCAGCCAGGGAGGCGGGCGGCGAGAGCCGCACACCCAGCCAACGGGGCCCACGTCCAGCGGGCGCCCTGGGTCGGCTGCTCGCTGCTGCTCGTGGCTCTGACATGGGTCGGGAAAGGCGCCCCCTGCGGGTGCGGCCAGGAGGCTGCACAGAGCCCGGGCTCTCCTGAGGAAGCACTGTTCACGCCCTCGGTTCCTCCAGGTTTTGATCTCTGTGAAGTGGGCCAGGAGGAAGTCACCCTGAAGACCGGGAAGCAGGCCAGCCGGCGAGCCGTGCACTTCGCGCTCCAGTCCCTGCTCGCTCTCTTCGGTAAGAGCCTGGCCCTCCGGCGCAGGCACGTGGTGTGTCTGTGTCAGGGGCGTTCCGCGGAGCTGTCGAGAACTCCTGCCCCCACAGAGCATGCAGTGCAGGCAGACCAGGGCTCTGAAGACACAGGCGGGGCAGAGGCAGGGGCAGAGGCAGGTGTGGCCCCCGGCCGGGTGGTGGTCACGGCCCGAAGGCAGAAGCAACAGGACCTGCCCGGGGCGCGCACGGCCACGCTGCTGACGTCAGAACAGGTGGCTGGGGCATGAACGTGTCTGTAACTTCCCAGGAAGGGGGCTGTGTCCTGTGGGCACTCGAGGGGTCAAAGGGCACCAAGATGAGGGGTCAGCAGTGGACCCTGGCATCTACATGAGCCTGACAGCACTAGGGATGGCCTGAGAGGGCAGGGGAAGAGGAGTCTGGAGAGGAAGTGTGCTGGACAGGGGTGGGGTTAGGACGGCAGACATCCGGGCGCGCTCATGGCTGCCGGCCCCAGGCAGGGTAGGAAGCGGATGTGGGGCCCTGTGCTGGCCTGGGGGCTGGGACAGCATGCAAGACGTCCTTGGGTCGTCGTCCTCGGCCCACTTCTGTGCAGTTACAGACAGCTGTCATTTTGAAAGAAAGACCAGAGCCATCTCGGTCCTAACTGCCCCTGGGCCCCTGTTCTGTGTTCAGATTCCACGGAGCTGCCCAAACGCCTCAGCCTCGACAGCTCCTCCTCGCTGGAGTCCCTGGCCTCCGCGCAGTCGGTTTCCAACGCCCTGCCCCTGGGCTACCAGCAGCCCCCCTTCTCCCCCACCGGCGTGGACAGCATGGCCTCGGACGCCATCTCCGTGTACAGCCTGAGCTCCATCGCCTCCTCCATGAGCTTTGTCTCCAAACCCGAGGCGGGGCCAGAAGGCGGGGGCCCCAGGCCCAAGAATGCCCACCCGCAGAGATCCACCCTGCCTCGCGGCCAGCTGTCCCCGCAGAGCCGCCCCGCGGGCCACAGGGACGAAGAAGAATACGAGGGGTTCTCCATCATCAGCACGGAGCCCCTGGCCTACCACGAAAACAGGAAGGGCCAGGGCCGCTTCTCCCCAGACCACAGGGCGCCCCGAGGCGGGCCGGCGGGCGGGGTCAAAGTGTCCGTGAGCTCCAAGGGCAGCGTCAGCACACCCAGCTCGCCGGTCAAAATGACTCTCATCCCCAGCCCCAACTCGCCCTTCCAGAAGGTAGGAAAACTGGCCAGTTCAGACACAGGAGAATCGGACCAGTCTAGCACAGAAACAGACAGTACCGTGAAGTCCCAAGAAGAGGGCAACCCAAAGCTCGAGCCGCAGGAGCTGGCCCAGAAGATCCTGGAGGAGACGCACAGCCACCTCATGGCCGTGGAGCGGCTCCAGAGGGGCGGCCAGGCCGGGAAGGGCCTCGGGGCTGAGGACGCGCGCCCGGCGCCCGGCGGTGCAGCCGTCTTCAGGGCGTCCGAGACGAGCGCCTTCAGCAGGCCCGTCCTCTCCCACCAGAAGAACCAGGCCTCCCCGGTCACTGGCAGACCCAAGCCCCCCGCCAGGAGCTCGTCCCTCCCCAAGGTGAGCTCAGGCTACAGCAGCCCCGCCGCCTCGGAGGCGTCCGTCAAGGACAGCCCGAGCCAGCACAGCGGCCGCCCGTCGCCCGGCTCCGACTCCCAGGCTTCCCTGGCCGAGCAGCCCCTGTTTAAGCTCAAGTACCCCAGCTCGCCTTACAGCGCGCACATCTCCAAGTCCCCGAGCTCAGGCCACCAGTCGCCTGCGGGCAGCGCCCCGTCCCCCGCGCTCTCCTACTCCTCGGCCGGCTCCGCGCGCTCCAGCCCGGCCGATGCCCCCGACATAGACAAACTGAAGATGGCCGCCATCGACGAGAAGGTGCAGGCCGTCCACAACCTCAAGATGTTCTGGCAGAGCGCCCCCCAGCACTCGCCAGGCCCCATGAAGCTGTTCCGGGGCACCCCTGGCACCATGGCTTCCAAAAGGGACGTCCTCAGTCTGCTGAACCTGTCCCCTCGGCACAACAAGAAGGAGGAGGGGGCAGACAAGCTGGAGCTGCAGGAGCTGTCCACGCAGCAGCGCGACGGGGCGCCGCCGCAGGCCCCCCCCAACGGACACTGGCGCCCCGAGCCCGCCGGCCCCGCCAGCGCCGCACGCCCCCTCAGACTCCCCTCGGGAAACGGCTACAAGTTCCTGTCCCCAGGAAGGTTCTTCCCTTCTTCCAAATGCTGAAGCGTCTTCCGAGCCTGGGTGCGGCCCCCACACAGCCGCCAGCACCACCTCACGCCGGCGCACTCTGGACCGGGGCCACCGCCGCCCCACGCCCGGGCGGCCCCTCGGGGCCAGGTCCGCCGAACGCCAGGACTGCCGTGGGCCAGGACAGGAGGCTCACGATGCAGTCTACACTCGCCAAATGTTTACCCTCCCACTCCCCGCTTCTCATCTCGGGTGCACTCTCAACGGGCTCTAGTACAACAGCGGTCACGGTTCTCGGGTGCGGGCAGGAAAGGGCGCAGCCCCTGACACGCGGCTTTCGGGTGCCGGCCGGGGAGGGCAGCACAGAACCTCCACGCGGAGCCCCGCACAAGTGCCGCGCTAGCGAGACCCGCAGGGGCAGCTCCGCGCCACGGGGCTCGCCAGCGTCCTCTGGGCCCCTCTGTCAACCAAACTTGAATTTTCTTAAGAAATTTATGTAACTGTTATCCAGGCATTTTAGAACTATGCAATTGTGATTTAAAATGCAACTTTGTGCTTTTAAAACGTTACTGACCTTTTTTGTACATGGATGAACAACTTGGTTTTATTATCAATAATACTTTGCATTTATAGCTGTTATTTTTAAAAACTCAAAGTTTTGTAAAATGTCAAATTTTGAGGAATCATCAATAAGTAATTATCAAGTTCAGGGGGAAAGGTTGGGAACGATTCAGTTTCTCTACAAGAAAACAAACCTCCCGTGGCTAACAAGGTTCATGAGAAGTTCGCCTTCCGGCTCCGGCTCCTGCTCCCTTAGAGTAGCTGTATGATTTTATTCCTGCCCCAGGCCCCCCCAGCCCCCTCCACCCCAACCCAGTGCCAGCTCCCGCGACCGCAGCGGGAGACTCCGTCCCCACTGCCTGCTCCACGGGGAAGGGAGGCGAGGGGCCGGTCTAGTTAGGGATACCTTTTAATTTATTTTAATAAAGTACTGAAATGCTGAAAATCATTAGTACTAAGTTTAGTTGGACAAGTGAGGTAAGTTTCTTTTCGACAGCTCCAAAGTAAACCCCGACCATCCTCACAGTGAGGGCACAGGGCAGGGGCAGGAGGGGCCTGGCCGCAGGCTCCACCTCGGGAAGGCTTCTCCTCCCTGGGTGCTAGGCCTGACACCCCGCTCGGATCCCCCCTGGAAGAGAGGCTATTAACAGTGTGGTCGCAGGGGCAGAGGAGACATGAGCGCAAGCTGCAGCCAGGCGCACGCAGACAGCCGTGATGAACCTCAGCGCAGACCAACGCCTAGATCCCAAGGACACTGCTGTTTTCAGTTTCAAACTCAAGAGCCAGACAGTACTTGTGATTTAAAAAAAAAAAGTGTTTTTTTGTCCCATGTGCAAGTTCCAAGGAAGAGCAGCAAAGCTGGTAGAAGCAGAGGACCCCTGCAGGTCCCGAGCCCGCGCCCGGCGGCTGCCAGGCCGCGCGTCGCCACCTGGGTGAAGAGCGCACAGCACACAGCGGAGCGCGTCGTTCAGCTCACGCCCAGGGCTGCGCGCGCTCACCGTCACGCGACAGGCCGGCCCTGTGCTCATCCCGGCTTAGCCACGGCCACTCCAGCCGCCGTCTGGTCACCCACACGGCGGGTCTGGCCACGAGCTAAGGATGGAATTTTACCTTGTACAATGGTTCTATAAATACCTACATAATATTCTCCATTTTGCCTCTTAGCCCACAGAGCCTAAAGTAGCTCATCGGGGCCTTTTAAGGAGAAGTTTTCTGATGCCTGGTGCAGACGACGTGAAACACAAACGGAGCTGGCCCTGCTTCCACGGGCTCGCAGGAGCCTCAGGGAGCAGGCAGCACGGCCTGGCGGGCCCGGGCACCTGAGCACAGGAGGGCGCCTGAGCAGCCCCTGGCTTTTCACCCCACAACCTTCCCTGCTTGGGAGGCGTCAACAGTTTTGCTTCCCACGTGCAGGCAGCATTGGCTAGATTTTTTTTAAGTTCTGTAAACTGGGATGCCCTGCCCCTCCTGTACCCCATCAAACGCAGAGACTGACACAAGCAATAACCCCTCTTAGAAACCCTGGCGCGACCGCAAAGTGAGCGAGCTGAACTGGGATTCCCACGACAGAACGAGCTCCTAAACGGACGCTTCAATCCACATTGGCATGCAGCAAAGTCAAACAGTTCTCTCCCAGTCCCGTTTCTGAAAACGTCACAGCCCGCACTGACCCAAGATGAGGTGTCACCGCACAGCCCCCCCCCCTCCCCGGGACCCCTGGTCGGTGAGCACTGCGGCAGTCCCTGGTCCAGCCTGTCCAGCCACCTCCCAGCCACACGCGCTTGCAGACTCACAGGAATGGTAGCCTGGTTGGTTTGGGTTCAGGTTGGAAAATCCAATGCAATAATCTGGTTTGCATTTAGTGAGTAGGCAGAGAGGAACGACTGTGTAATTTTCATCACCTGCTTTGTCGTTTTATCTAAAATGTACCTGTGGTTTGTGAACCGAGCCCCCGTGTGCACCAGGCCCATCGGCACCCCCGTGCCCCCCCTCCCCCCTCAGACGCCTCCCACTCGCCACTCACGCTCCTTACGCGCAGTGTTAGCCATCTTTGGCCTCTGTGGACTTTTTTGTAGACGGCGCGGTTCCATCCGCATTCCACTTTTTCTACTGCAGAGTTTACCGTGGAAGAGAGCTTCCTATTTTTATGGAGACTGCTGGGGCACTTGGCCTTCTTCCTTTGTGATGTCAGTGTCTATTAAAGCATGAGTTCTGACGTTTTAAGTCTTGTAGTCGCCTTGCTTTCTCTACTCTTCCACACCTTCTAGGTCTCTAACGCACCAAGAGGCCCCAAGTCGCTAAGGAGCGCCTGTCTCTGGAGCTCACCCCCACATCCACCCAGCAGCCCAAGGCCAGGCACACAGAGCCTCCTCGAGTCTCAGCCTCCGGCAGCCTCGTGGTGGTGGGGGCGGGGGCGGGGGCGGGGGCGGGGGTGGTGGTATGATCTGATGGCCCAGTCTCACAGCTAGAGGCCCAGAAAATTCCACAGTGGATTGAGAGTTTACACAGACAAAGCCACACTCCATCACCACTCTATCTCCACATCTAAGGAAACTTTCAGGGGCCAGCGTGTGGTGCAGTAGGGGCCTTTGACATTGGCATCTCCTATGGGCACCAATTTGAGTCCTGGCTGCTCCACTTTCAATCCAGCTCCCTGCTCACGTGCCTGGGAAGGTGGGGGAAGATGGCCCAAGTGCTTGGGCCCCTACAACTCACATAGGAGACCTGCTGGCATTCCTGGCTCCTGACTTTGGCCTGGCCCAGCCCCGGCTATAGAAGTCATTTGGGGAGTGAACCAATGGACAGAAGACCTGTCTCTCTCTGTGTTTCCTCTCTCTGTAACTCTGCCTTTCAATTAAAGAAAATATCTTAAAAAAAAAAAAAAAAAGAAAAGAAAAGAAACTTTGGAAAACAATCCTGTAATTAAAGTCTGAGAAGCATGGAACAATAGTGAACAGAGAACCAGGCCAACGGGACTCAGTGCACACAAACGCTGGCTGTGTAGTGACGCCTCCTCCGGGAACAGTGAGAACGGCCAGGCCACGGCACGGACAGGAAGGACACTCCCGTGCTGTAGGCGGGGAGAAGGAGGACTCTTGGAGTAACTGCAGAATCACACGACAGTGCAGAGCTACACTTCCCAAACTAAGCAGCAGAGGAGAGAAAACAATCTTAGAAACCCTGGCTGACCTGAAGGACTGGGCATGAGCAGCACCACATGTTAAAGCGGGACAGGGTGGGCGTCTGGCACAGGTGCTGAGCTGCCACGGGACACCGGCGTGGCAGACGGCGGACACGAGTGCCTGGTCTGACTCGGCTACTCTGCTTTGGTCAGCTCCCTGCTGCTGTGCACCTGGGAGGCAGCAGATGACGGCTCAAGTACGGGGTCCCTGCCATTCATGTCGGGACCTGCACGGAGTTCTGGGTTCCTGCTTTCACCTGGCCTGGCCACAGCTGTTCAGGCACCTGGGGGGTGAACCAGTAAACAGAAGATAGCTCACTCGCTCGCTCTCTCTCCCCTCCCTTCAAATAAAAAGAAATCCACAAAAATTTAAAATCAGAATATAAGATAAAAGCAATAAAAATCTCCATAGTTATTATAAATGTAAGTGACTCAACATTCCATATTCCTTTAAACCACTGTATGTTCCTTGGGAAAAACCACCAGAGCATCAGGTTCTCAGATGTTGGACAGTAAAAGGATGGCACAAAGCACATTAAAGAGAAGGCTCTGCCACAGAGAAGCTCCGTTCCTGAGGATAAATTAGCACAGAGGCAAGATTCTAAATTTTGAGGCAGCTAACCATGTACACAGCTCCCAAATTCCCCAAAGACAAAGTGGGCAGGACTACAAGTTTGGGAAAATACACTAACGAGAGACTGTAAGCCACTAGTCCCAGCGATCGATAGCTCAGGCAGACAACAGGAAGTCTGCGGTGGGCTCAGGGACTCAGCGGCCAGCTGACGAGAGAGTTCGAGCGCCTGCCCCAGGCTGAGTCCACACTCCCCACCTGCGCACAGGCCACAGCCGACGCAGACCCCACGTGGCTCACACGGCAAGCCTCGGCAAGGACCAAGCGCTGTCACCACCACCCAGAACCAGAACACAAACAGCACATTCAGGTTGGACCCCTACAACAGCGTACGTGTGAACCAGGGAGGGCCTCACGGGAAAACACTACAGACCAAAGCGGGAGGAGGGGTTTTGGGGTTTCCCTGTATCCAAGGACAGGTTCCGTGCACACCTGACAGGACGTCCGTAGACGACAGGTGTCCTCCAGAACCCGCGAGGGGCTGATGATTCCCCAATCTTGGATGCTCAGGTCCCTCACGTAAAACGGCATGGGGTTTGCAAAAGGCCTCTCCCCCATGGCCGGTGTTACAGTGCAGTGCGTTAAGCCAACACCTACAACACCAGAATCCCATCATACGAGCCCCTGTTCGAGTCCCAGCTGCCCACTTCCGATCCACTCCCTGCTAACATGCCTGGGAAAACAGTGGGAAACGGCCCAAGGGCTTGGGCCCCTGCCGCTCACATGGGAGACCTGAATGGAGTTCTGGGCTCCTGGCTTCGGCCTGGTCAAGCCCTGGTCATTGTGGCATTTGGGGAGTGAACCAGTGGGTGGAAGCTGGCTTGAGCTCTTTCTATCTTTGCCTTTAAAATTGTTTTAAGGACTCGGGCCAGCATTGGGATGTAGCAGGTAAAGCCACCACCTGTGCACTGACATCCCACATGGGCGCTGGTTCGTGTCCTGGCTGCTCCACTTCTGATCCAGCTCCCTGCTATGGCCTGGGAAAGCAGCAGAAGATGGCTCAATTGTTTGTGCCCATGACACCCATGTGGGAGACCCAGCTGAAGCTCCTGGCTCTGGCCTCACCTCGCCCTGGCCACTGTAGCCATATGGGGAGTGAACCAGCAAACAGAAGATCTCTCTCTCCCTCTCTAATTGTGTCTTTCAAATAAGTACATTTTGAAAAACATTTTATTTACTTGAGAGGCAGAGTTACAGACAGAGGGAGAGAGAGTGAAAGGTCTTGCATTTGCTGCCTCATTCCCCAAATGACCACAACCTGGAGCTGGGCCAATCTGAAGCCAGGAGCTTCCTCCAGGTCTCCCACACGGGTGCAGGGGCCCAAGGACTTGGGCCATCTTCTCCCGCTTTCCCAGGCCATCAGCAGGGAGTTGGATTGGAAGTGGAGCAGCCAACACTCAAACTGGCGCCCATATGGGATGCCACCACTGTAGGAGGAAGCTGAATCTATTACGCCACAGTGCTGACCCTCAAATACATAAATCTTTACAGACGAAACAAGACAGGACCCACGCACATGTGTCCTTGACTGTGATCCCGTCGATTCTAACACCGCCTGCGTGGCCTCACTGTGGTGCTGTCTAGAGAACAACAACAGGGAGAAAAGTCCGCGCATGCTTAGTGCAGTCGCAGTTCTCTGCTCCTCGTATTTTAGGAAATCAGGTATGTGGTCGGCTGAACCTGTGGGTGTGGAAGTCACGGATGCAGAGGCAAGTGCATTTATAATAGCTGAAGAATAAAGTCAGCAGGATGCAGTATCTCAGAACCACGTGGGGCCATAAATGTTGCTATCGGAGCTGTGAAGCTGCAGGAAGCTCAGCCAGTGAGGAGGCATCAGGGCAGGGTGTGACGCGGGCTCCGGGCACACAGGGTGCAGCACCTTCACGGAAACGCACAGTCTTAGTTCTAGCTTCCACGCACTTCTCAAAGCACCCTCCCGTGTCAGGAATGAAGAGAGGCTACTCAGGAGCTAGGCCGCCAATTCAAGAAGTGAGGGGGTTACAGCCCGGCCTGCAGCACCGGCATCCCACACAGGCGCCGGTTTGCGTCCCGGCCACTCCACTTCTGATCCAGCTCACTGCTACTTGGCCTGGGAGAGCACTGGAGGATGGCCCAAGTTCCTGGGCCCCTGCAGCCTTGTGCAAGACCTAGAACAAGTTCCTGGCTTCAGATTCGCTCAGCTGTAGCCGCGGGCAGCCATCTAGGGAGCGAACCACTGAATGGAAGACCACCCCCGCCCCCGACCTCTGTATTTCAAATAAATAAATATTTTTAAAAATTAGGAAAAGAGTGATGGACAGAAAAAAGGGAGGGAATAAGACAAGTCAGGTATGAAAGAAAATAACGTTCAAGAGATTAAGAAAAACAAAGTCTTCCAAGGAGAAAAAAAACCAAACCAGCACCCCACATCTGAGCAGGTCCCGCGTGCTGTCTGGGGTGGGGGCAGGAGGGAGATGGAAAGGGACCGAGAAGGGAGCACAAAGACGAGGCAGAGACTGAGACGCAGACGGCCCGGGAAGGTTTACGTTAACGTGAGAGGACGCCGCAGCAGCACTCACGCAGCTCCAGGCTGCAGCAGCGGGGGCCGCGACCGGGCCCTCCCCGCCCATGGCCACGCACATGCACCGTTCCAGAGAACGGGAGAGAGAGGGGAAGCAGCGGTGCCGCCTGCACGACAACAGATAATATGAACGGTGAGGAGAAGATGTCAAAAGTTCTGAAGAAAACGGTCATGACAAAACGGTGCAAGGAGGGGAGGAAGCTGAACCCGGCCCTCCCCAGCTCTCTCGAAACACCCCGGCCCTGACGGCTCCAGCCCTCACCAGACGTCCGGGGCCAGCCAGTCTCCATCTTTTCACAGTTTGCCACACACAAAAAGACGAAACGACACTAGATCAGTTCAGATGCTAATCGTAGCCTCCCACTAACACATAGCCTGAGGAGACAATGTGCCCACTCACATGTGGACCTGGACAGTAGAGCCCTAAATAAAATCCTGGTATCTTTAAAACTAGCCCGACAGCTTGAGAGTGGATCACTGTGTGGTAACTCACGAGCGTTCGTCCTTGCTGGTGCGACACAACTGTGGCCCTACAGGTACACGGGGAAACACACCCATAGGACACAGGGGGTGAAGCCGCCGCCTGCAGTGCCGGCATCCCACATGGGCAATGTTTCCAGTCCCGGCTGCTCCACTTCCGACCCAGCTCCCTGCTAATGGCCTGGGAAAGCAGTGGCCCATGTGCTTGGGCTCCTGCACGCCCACGTGGGAGACCTGGATGAAGCTCCAGGCTCCTGGCTTTGGCTGGTCCAGCCCTGGCTGTTGTGGCCATTTGGGGAGTGAACCATTGATGGAAGACCTCTCTCTCTCTGCGACTTTGCCTTAATAATAATAATAATGAAGAAACACAT